GCAATCTACTTCCATAGTGATACTGCCTCGGAAACCCAAGGAGGGGTCGCTATGAGTCGGGTCCAACTCGACGGCAGTGAGTTTGGATTTTGGTGCTTATAAGAAAGTTGGAGTCTCCGAGTGGTGCGGGTGTTGAACATACTTAGTTGCTAACCAAAATGGATATCTGACCACTCAGAGATGCCTCAGAAGAAAAGCCTGAAAAAACCAGCCTCTGAAACCTCCCAGAGCATGGTTCCAGCCTGGCTCCTGCCAGTCGCCCCTGTGGCCACTGGTCCTGGTTAACATGGAGTGACTGCTCTAAGCGAATGAGAGTGAACTGTGGGATGTTTCCTTCCCTAGAAGAACAGGCAATTTTATGCTGTGAGAGAGACTAAAGACAGACAGACTCTCAGATCCTGACACCGCTCGGAACCATGGCGATTAACGGTGAGGAAGGTGAGAGTTGTTCTGGGGCGGCCGGAGGGGAAGGTTGGCCCCGTGAGAGCAGCCTCTCCGAGCCTCGTATTAAGCTTTGGTAGCACTCTCTTGCGACAGAAAAAAGAGGGACTGTTCCCCTCTGTCGTCACCTAGGGCCCACATTTTATTTCAAGCGCTCTGCCATTGTTCCAGGAACTGTGTGCGCTTTTCATAAAAACATTTTAAAATATTGATACAGAATTTCCACACAGAACAATTCATTTCGTGATCCACAGACTGAAGAAGGTGTGGGGGGCAGTCCCTTCCCGGGAGACGTTCCTTCTGAACTCACCAGAGAAAACGTTTGCGTTTCAGTTCATTCTCCCTCGGACGTGGGCATGGCCAGCATTCGGACCCATGCGGCTGTTTGTCACCGAGGTTCCGAGCCGGGTGGGAAGGAGCCCTGGCAGCTGCCACGGCGCCCTCTCCACTGCTCACTGCTGGTGCTCTGCTCCTTTGAGAGGCCGTGAAATGTCTCAGTAAATCAGAGTTGGAGAGATGAGCGCTCCAGGTTAGGGGAACGCGACATCCCAGAGCCACCAGTGAGCATGAGATTCCTGACCGAGTCTCCACGCACGGCGTGACCCCAGCTTGGCTCTGTCCGTCAGACTCACGGCTTACAAGGGGCCCCCCTTGGTGTGCTTCTCCTGGCTCTCAGTGACCCGGCAATGCTCCCCTAGGACGTCCAGGCAACCCCAGCCCAGCAGCTGTCATTCCCCACCTTGCAGGCCGCCGAGTCACCACTGTGGCCACCCTGGCCCCAGAACAGTCATGATGCCTCTGGTGCCACATCCAAGTGGCCTCTGAGGACGCTGGCCCTACGGGGCTCATGTCTGCCTTCAGGAGGGAGCCCCCTGCCCGTCTATGGGAAGGGCCACGGCAGTGGACTGAGTCCAAACCCAACTGCCTGCTGGCTTTCGTTCTGCCGTGGACACCCAGAGGGACATCTCCCTGGACTCGTTGCTGGAACACAGTTGGGAGCCGCCACCGTGACCTAAGGATGAAGGGACATCACTGACAAGTCTTGTTGTTCGCTGCTGTCACGTTGGCCCCCAATCCGCGGAG